CCGCAACCCTAGACACCCACCCCCAACCATACTGAGGCCTTGGGAGGCCTGTTGCGTCATGAAATGATATAAACAATACCTCCAAAGAAGTGTCAGAATGTATGACAAGATCGTGATTTCGCAGATAGCGATTGGAAAGAGATCGTATGCAGAGATGAGATTAAAACGAATTGATGGTATCCATCTGCCCACCTTGCCTCATTGCACCTTCAGCAGCTTGTTGAAAGGCCCAATCACTACTGTCCACAACGTGATTGTCGCCATCTTGTAATCGAAACCGGACACCGGAAATACGTTGTCCAGCCATCAGTCCTTGCTCACATGTGTTTCTAAAACCAGTCTCAATAGCTGGAACATATTGCTTGGGCACATGAGTACCGACAGTCTCGTCCGAGAAGATGAGCTGGGTATTTTGTTCCGCCGGAAGTGGCTCCAAAATGCCAATAACGCGACCATACTGACCAGCGCCACCGGATTGCTTTTTGTGTAGATAATCAAATCTGACAGAGGAAGGAAACATAGATATACTGAGTCATAGTAACCAAAACCTAGAGCACATTCTGAACAGTGAGAGGATTAAATTCAAGTATGTAAAAAAAGTGTTTGGCAAGACTAAAGACCAGCGAGCCATAAATTGATCCGCAACCTTTGCGTATTCTTTAAGTGTCATAGAGATGGCAGTACCACTTCGCTGAGTCTATTTTTTAAAAATGTAAAATGTCCTGTTAGTTCTTTTTTTATTTACTGAATATACAAATGTACAATCAACATCCAGGAAGGGGCCCGCGGTTATACAAAGGTTGCCTGGGAAGACGGGCAGCGGTTCGAACCCGGGACTCCCAGGTCATAATTTGGTGAACTAACCACTTGGCCACTACTGCTACTGTGATAGAGTCAGAAATACAGTGGTGTAACCTAAACAGTAGGAACAATGTGATAATAAGGGTGTAAGAGTGTAAACACAGTGAAGATCGGGAGAGCCAGGACATATCATAAACTGAGTAGAAGGAAGAACACTGAAAATCGACCAGCAGTGCTGGTTGATATTATCGGATAATGTCCATTCTAGCATTTCAGTTCACACACTTTGAAAAGTGGTTTGGAGAGCTGGTGAAGAGGGACAATCACAGTGAAACCTTCGTGGTATCATGTGTTTGGAATTCCGACCGAAGCATGTGAACAGACTCGTAAAACCAACGAGCGGTTGGGATCGAGGAGAGTGCTTCTTCTATCAGTTCAGTTCAGTTTGTACAACCATTAACCACGCATATTCATGTGCCCGTTATGGTTGCTATCTTTTGGTTGCCCATTTGGATGAAGAATAGGAGAAGAAAGGAACGTTGAAAGTGGAGTCGAACAGAAAATGGAGAAGTTCAGTGGTCTAAGTGTGCAAAGAAATTGAGAAGATGCACGAACGCCACTGGTTGTGATACCCAGACATATTACTCAGTGTCTCTAACCATCGGTTATGATCATCCAGAGGTCCCCAGCCAGGGAGTCTAACAAGACCTATGTGACCCAGTCTCATGGTTAGGTTTTTCATGCCCTCGTGCCAGGTCTTAGCTTGACAACCCTTGGCTGATCGATCTCATCGCAATGGGCTTCTTTTATGGCCTTTTGCGATGAGGTCGATCAGTGTTCATTGCTGACTCGAAGAGTTGGAACGTCAAGTACCGCATCAGCAATGAGTGCAATTCGAAACTGTACTGACCGTATGTTTTGAGTGACAGGCATCAAGCCCAAAAGCGGGTCTGAAAAATGTTCCATTTGAATACAGTCGACACACTCGAGGATTTTTATTTTTTCCATAAGATTAGATAAAACATTGTCTCGGTTTACCATGAGAAAAAGATCGTGGGTTTGTGGTTGCAATCAGTGGGTGCGCACTCTGAGAAAATGAACATACAAACTGCGTCCACTGGAATGGAAACTGCTTACTTTGCACGAACCTCTGATTGCTCATAATCGACTGCCGACAGAGACCTAATATAAACATCTGCTTCAGTTTCAGTTTTCACAATGTCGTGTGCCGGTTTCGGATCCTCCGTTTGTTGGCTGTTCATTTGGTTGATCAATGAAGAAAGAGTTTAAAGAGAGTACCACATATTAAAATAAATGTGCGGAAAGCAAGGGAACATTATCGGCGCCAGTTTACGACAATCAATCGCTGTGTGGCCGTTCAATACGTTGGTCACGAGCTGCCCAAAGAGTAATTCAACTGCGGTCTAAATAAGTGAGCCCAAGTAAGAAATGCTTCATTTTTTTATGACACACTTCAGCACAATGAAAAGCAGCAACAGACAACCCCATAGTGATGACGGCCTGCTGCTCTGTGGTGAAAACCGGTAACCTAAGCCCCAGCTTGGAGTGGCGAATCACATAAGGCCCCACTAATTTAGGTGTGGTATTGCACTGGACGACAACAAAACCGTCTATCACCGAAGATGGGTGGCGATTCAAAGCTCGGACCAATAGGGTCAAAAGCAAGCCGGGAACAGCGACTAAACCACCGCGCCACCAACATCCAAATGATGAATTCCCAGCAGTAAACGAA